CCCACAAGGGTCACTGGGAATTAAACCTTGTTGCTCTTGCCTCTCCTCCAATAACAGGGCAACTGTGCCCAATCTAGACACATCTACCTGCATTTCTGTGAGACACGGAATGTGGCTTCATATCTTTGGGGCTAAATGGGAAAATGTGGACTCACCGTGTAGTAATGCTTTAATAACAGGGCTGACCGACACAGAGCCCCGGCTATGTGCCAGACACTGTTCCAAGCACTTTGCATGTATTAACCACATTCTCAAGGCAAATCCTATGAGGTGGGAAGTAATTGTTACCCTCACTGTAGACAGGAAGAAAGGAGGCACAGAGCAGTTAGCTGGCCGGTGGTAGAGCCAGATTTGAATGCTGCTGCCTGGCTCCAGAACCCACAGATGCATAGCTGGTTTTAAACTGAACTAGAGATTTCTGGTTGATTAATAGAGGAAGCAACAGGTGGGGATAGAAGCCCAGATCTTACGGGGACTGCCAATCAAGATGCCCTGCCCTCCACTTACTGGACCAATGGGAAGCTGCACTTTGCCCTGGATTCTCAGCCACTGCTTCCCGCCCTTTCCTGGTATGGCAAGGTTGTAGTCCTTCTCATCTCTGATCCCCCCAGCTCCTTCCCATATGGTCCCTTCTGGCCATCAGAGGTTTCTGTTGTTTGCAACCAAAGAGCCCTGCTCGAGGTAGGAGCTCATTGCTCTCCGGCCCCCACCCATGGTTAGTCCATGATCCTGGTGGGTGTGGATGTGTGCAAAAAAGTGAGAATCACTGGCAGTCTGTAGTGACAGACCACAGGACTCCATCCGTATCCTTGTCCCATTGATCATCATTTTTACAATTTGGATTTAGAACACAAGGCCTGCTCATAAAATGTGCAGCCGCCACAGTGCAGAATTCATGCTTTGTGCACTAGAAGCTGGACTTACAACGCTTTCAAGACTAGACGGCTGGATGGGAGCCAAGCAGATGACATTTAACCAGCATAATATAAGGTCTTGCCTGTGTTTCCGAAGAATTCATTGTGCAAGTACCAGATCGGGGAGAGTTTGCCAGATAGTAGTCCATGGGAAAAAGCTCTCACTGCAAATTCAGTGAGTCACCAGAATAATGTAGCTGTTGAAACACAAATGCGGGTGGCATTACTGGAGACTGAGTGACTAGAAAACTGGGAATGACAGCACCTTTCAGCTTGGCCCTCGTCAGTCCATACATAGAGCCTGCTTCCAGTTCTGGCCTCTACATTTTAGGAAGGACAATGACAATGACAGCACATTCTAACATGGATGGCCCAGATTGAGACTTGAGGGTGCTGATCACCCTTGGGGAGCTGGGATCCCTGTGTGCGAATATCTGCAGAGGAATCCCAGAGAAGAATCCCAAAGGCACATTAGGGGGTCAGTTCTGGAAAATAGATATTTTAGTCAAAGCCGTTTGGGTGGCAAGTAACCAAAACCATACTGGAGATTGCTCAGCAAGAAAAAGAAATGTAAGGGCCAAGCTGAGAAGCGGAATTTCGGACGGCAGGGTCAGGGGCTGGAGCTGGGAGCTGGAAAGCGGCAGGAACCAGGGCAGGCTGACTCTGCCTCTCTTCCCTCTGCTTGCTTTCTTGCAAAAACACAGCTTTCTCTGCTTCCTGGAAGGGCATCCAGCCCTGGCATGGCGTAATCCACTGAACTGCTCAGAATGGGGGTGATGGGAAGGGTTGGGAAGGGGTGAGGAAGCCAGAAGAGGGCAGGAGAGGTGGGCAGGGACCAGATGGGCAGGGCTGGTCATTAAAGAGTAACCCAACAGCCCTGGCCGGTTTGGCTCAGCGGTTGGAGCATCGGCCTGCGGACCAGAGTGTCCCGGGTTCAGTTCTCGCTAGGGGCACGTACCAAAACAAAAACAAAAAACAAAATAAAGAGTAACCCAACAAACACCTGGGTGCCCACTGCCCAGCTTCGAGCCAGAACATCTCCAGGTGTCCCCCCTGCTTCCTCTTCTCAGAGTTCACAGCTCTGGTGATTCTAGACTGTCTCATGCCCTGCTTTTCTATATAGCTGCAATATGTATGGATGGATGTCTAAGAAATGAGGGCTGCGGCCCTGGCTGGTTTGGCTCAGCGGTTGGAGCATCGGCCTGCACACCAGAGAGTCCCAGGTTCAGTTCCCGCTAGGGGCACGTGCCAAAAAAAAGAAAAGAAATGAGGGCTGCTTTGGCATGTCTTGGTTTTTATATGCTAGGGTCGTATCTGTAGCATCTTCTGCCTTGTTGCTTTTTTTACTGAGTGTGTTTGTTGAGATGTTTGCATGTTGATATGTAGAGCTGCAGTTTGTTCATTTCCCTGGCTATATTGCTTTCATTGTATGCAATCCTTTATCTCTAGTCTTTGACTATTCCGGTTGTTTCCAACCTTTTGGAACTACAATCGAGGCTGGATGTGTCCTCAGGAATGGAATTGCAGGGACTTAGGCTGGGCCCATTTTCCACTCTGTCAGTACGAGGCAGATTCTCCCTCACCCAGGACCTTCCAAATAAAAGCTTCCCACGATGGTTTAGGCTGTCCTGAGGGTAGTGAAGGCTCATTCACAGAGGTGAGAGGTGCATGTTGGGGGGTGCAGAGGCTCGTATCCCAACCTTCCAAGATATACTGAGTGTCTGTTGCAAGGAATGAGCTGGGGGCTTGGGGTTATCAGACATGAGTTTGAATCTCATCTCCACTACTTCTAGCTGTGTGACCTTGACAAGGCAAGTCATTTCCTTCTCTGAATCTCCAGTTTTCTTTTTAATCCTCACCCGAGAATATGCTTTTTAAAAAAATTGATTTTGAGAGAGAGAGAGAGAAACATCGATGTGAGAGAGAAACATTGGATCAACTGCTTCCTACATGTACCCCGATGAGGGATCAAACCCAAAACCTAGGTGTGTGCCCTGACCAGGAATTGAATCCACAAACTTTTGGTGTATGGGATGATGCTCCAACCAACTAAGCCACAGGGCCAGTTTTCTTTTTATTTTTTATTTATTTTATTTTATTTTATTTTTTTATCCTCACCCGAGGATATATTTTTCCATTTTTTTGTACAGATAGAGTGGGAGGGAGAGAGAGGAAGGGAGAGAGAGTGAGAAACATCAATGTGAAGGGACACATAGAGTGGCTGCCACCCGCACGACCAACCAGGGCCGGGGACAAACTGCAACCGAGGTACATGCCCTTAGCGGGAACCGAACCCGGGTCTCTCTGGACCGCAGGCCGACGCTCTAACCGCTGAGCCAAACTGGCCAGGGCCCAGTTTTCTTTTTAAAATGGCTACTACCTATGGCAGTTTCAGAGGGAACCAAGAAGCCTGCAAAGGCAGCTGCTTTAAAGAAATGGAGAGAGCAAGGTTGGTCCCAGGACCCTGCGTCACCTTCAGCAGACAGTGAGAGTAGGAAAGGCCAGCACAGAGCCCCCTCCTCAGACAGTCTGGGCTGAGCGAGGAGAGAATGTGGCGGGCTCCTGAGAAGGAAAAGACAGTCAAAGGGTGAAAAATGTTCCCCAAAGACCCTCTTGGAGAGGCTAGAATCTGGGCTCTAGATTCAGGGAGCAAGGTGGGAGCAGTGGACAGCGGCAGGATGAGACAGGAGAGGTGGGCAAGATGCTGGAGCCCCTAAAGGGGACCCCCGGAATTCATGGTGGGTGGTTCCAATCACAGACCCCAGTTCCACCCCTACTGGCCCAGGGGTCACTGGGCCTGGTAGGCGGAATGATTGGCTGGGCCCTCTAAGTAGAGTAGAAATAACCAGATGGCTGGAGAAATCCAGATGGGTATGGGCTGGGGCTGGGGGTGCCTGAGCAGAGGGAGGGAGGGCCTGGGGAGCCAGCTATGGGGGCTCTGTGTCTGGGGCCCATGTCTGGGGGTGAGGAGTGGCCTGAGAGGCCCAACTCAGATGGTTTCTGAAGAGTCAGTTCAGTGACCTGGGCTCTCTGGGAGTTAGAATGGGGGTAGGGCTGCCTCAAAGCCACCATTGTCACCCCCTCTCCCGCCTGACTGTCTGGGACCTAAAATAGAGCAGGAGCTCAGGGGATCTCGTGAGAATGGTTTCTGGCAAAGAGATCTGGGAGGAGGGGTGTGAGTCACTACTGGGAACCCTTAAGTTTGAAGCTCCCAAAGTCCAGCTGCCCCACCCCCATCCCCAGGGAGTCTGGAATCCACTGGACAGTGGAACTGAGGGTGCCTCAGTCCCACCCCTGTCCTGCTCTAGGGAGGGGCACTGGGTCTGCCATGGAGGTGCTGGATGACTGGGCCAAATCTGCCCCCTCAGGACCTCAATTTCCCAGATGTACCAGGAGTCAGAGACCTGGGCTGTGAGGCCCCTGGAATTCGTGGCAGGTGGTCCCAATATAGGCCCCCAGAGTCAGACAGACATGGAATGAAGTCCTAGTTCCTTTCCTGTTGGCTGAGTGACCTTGAACACGTTCCCCCTCATCCTGCGGCCTCAGTTTCCTGATCTGTAAAATGGACATCAACACCAAGTCCTGTTGTTCCCCAGTTTCAGCTTGAACTATCCAACAAGCATCATGACAGCACCCAGGCCTCTCTCCACAGCCTCCACCTCCTCAGATGGCACACTCTGTGCTGCTAGGAATGTTAACCCCAGTGGCCCCACTTCAGTGCCCATGCTTTGCACACACTGGCTCCTTACATCCTGGAGGGCAAAGATGCATCATCTCAGTCCTCTCCATGGAAGCTCTGCAGCCTCAGTACTGGACACCCTGGTTCCTGGGCACCTACTGTTTTCCCATTGTGCAGATGGGGAAATAAGCTCCTCTCTAAGGGGTCTGTGGGCTCCTCGTAAACGGGCACTGTGCACGGTTCCGAGCTGCGGGAGAGGCAGGCGCGGTATGTGGGGCACGCGTGCCCTCTCGCGGCCACGGTGCGCCGCGTACCCTGTGGCGGGAGCCGCCGGCTAGCTGAGAACTCTCTCCCCGGCTCTCTCCCCTCGTGCCCCGCCCCGTCCCCCCTCGTGCCCCCCCATTGCCATGGAGACAGCTCGTACAGTTTCCCCTTCCCCTTCCCCTTCCCCTTCCCCTTCCCCGTCCCCTTCCCCGTCCCCGTCCCCGTCCCCGTCCCCGTCCCCTTCCCCGTCCCCTTCCCCCTGTCCTAAGTCGGCGGCGGCCCCCCAGCCGGCCTAGGAGGAAAACCGCACCGCTGGCCGGCCGCGGGACCATGAACAGTAGGGCCCCGGGGACACTGACCGTGTGGAGAGTGAAATTCTTCCGCCGGCACCGCGGGGAGGTGAGGCCAGGGGCTCTGCCCAGACTCGGGCTCCTGGCTTCCTTGTAGCGGAGCTCCAGCTCCAGGATGGGCTGTGGGTGCTAAGCTCAGGTGCCAGGGAGGGCTCGACTCCTGGCCGACTCCAGTGTTATTTGGACTCTGGCTTTAAAGCGAACTCCCGGTTCTGGGCTTAGAGCTCTAGAATGGACTCGGCTCAGAATCCGATTCTAGAGAAGGCTCCAGGCATCAGCGTCATGAGGCGGAGCTGCCGGCTCAGGTGTTACAGGGCTCCAGAGCTCCAGGCTCTTGGCTCGGACTGCAGAGTGAGTGGTTCCTGGGGCCTGGGCTCTGGCTGTTGAGTGAGGCCTGAAGCCACGGCTGCAACCCCAGGCTCCTGGGGGCAAGTTTAGGGATGGCCCTAGGGTCTGGGGTAAAAAATGAACAGGCGAGTGTTTCTTGCCCCATTTGGTCTGACTACTTCTGTGCTCTGTTCCAGGTCAACTTCTCCGCCTTCTCCCCGGATGGCCAGACGCTGCTCACAGCCTCTGAGGACGGCTGTGTGTATGGTTGGAAAACCCAGAGCGGCAATCTGCTGTGGAGGTTGGCTGGCCACACAGGTGGGACTCCTCAGCCTGGGTACGGAGGCTGAGGCCCAGTTCTGGCACTTTGCAGAGCCTACCATAATGACCTCCAATGTTTGAGCTGAGCATCGGTGCAAAGATAGCCTAGGCAGGGCTGCGGCAGGAGGGCCAGGGGATAGGACTTGGTCCCTGGGGCTTCTGACTCTGGCAGACCTGGACTTAGATTCTACTTAAAAAATGTTTCTTTCTGCCCTGGCCTGTTTGGCTCAGCGGTTAGAGCATTGGCTGCGGACCAGAGAGTCCTGGGTTCGTTCCCGCTAAGGGCACATACCTTGGTTGCAGTTTGTCCCTGGCTCCAGTTGGGAACCGGGGTCATGTGGGTGGTAACCATTCGATGTGTCTCTCTCACATAGATGTTTCTCTCTCCCTCCCTCTCTCCCTCCTGTTCTATCTGAAGATAAATGCAAAAATGTCCTCTCGTGAAGATAAAAAAAATTTTTTTTTCTTTCTTGATTTGAGAGAGAGGGAAGAAGGGAGAGGGAGAGAGAGAAAGAAACATCGATGGACAAAAACATTGATTGGCCACCTCCTGCATGCCCTGCACTGGGGATTTGGCCCACAACCCGGACATGTGCTCTGACCAGGTGACTCTTAGTGCATGAGTTGATGCTCAAGCACTGAGCCACACTGGTCAAGCCAGATCCTACTTTTAAAAAAGTTGTTTAAAAATATAGATATTCGCCCTGGCTGGTTTGGCTCAGCGGTTAGAGCATCGGCCTGCAGTCCAGAGAGACCTGGGTTCGGTTCCTGCTAAGGGTGCGTACCTCGGTTGCAGTTTGTCCCCAGCCCTAGTTGGTTGTGTGTGTGGCAGCCACTCGATGTGTCCCTTTCACGTCGATGTTTCTCTCTGTCTCTTCCTCCCACTCTATCTGAACAAAAAATGAAAAAATGTCCTCCAGTGAGGATAAAAATATATACATATTAATCATTTTAAGTGAAGTGTTATTTACATTCATGGTTGTGCATCTAGTGTCCAGAACTCATATTTTGAAAAACTGAAACTCTATACCCATTAAACCCCATTCTTCCCTTCTCCCAGCCCATCAGTCACCATTCTGCTCTCTCCAAGAACTGGACTACTTTGAGTACCTTGTATAAGTGGAACCATACAGTATTTCTCTTTGTAACTGGCTTACTTCTCTTAGCATAATGTCCTTGAGGTTTATCTTTTATCCACTATTTTGACTGTGGTTATGTCATGTCACCCCTCTGAGCCTCTATTTCCTTCTCTTTAGAATGGAAATAATAGTTGCTACCCTATAGGATGAAATAATGCAAGCAAAGTGCCTAGCACCCAGTAGCCCTCAGTAAATATAATTCATAATTAAGGAGATGCCTGGCCGGTGTGGCTCAGTGGTTGAATGTAGACCCATGAACCAGGAGGTCTCTTGTTTGATTCCCGGTCAGGACACATGCCCAGGTTGTGGGCCCGGTCCCCAGTGGGAGGCATGCAGGAGGCGGCCAATGGATGTTCTCTCATCGATGTTTCTTTCTCTCTCTCTCTCCCTCTCCTTTCCTCTCTCTCTAAAATCAATAAAGAAAAAATATATATATATTTTAATAATTAAGGAGACAAGGAAAAAACTCTGGTTAATTACAGGGCCGATTGACTAGTACTATAATAGGAAAATCCAGGGGCTGGGGAGTTCAAAGGAACCTATGTTGGGCTGTCAACGAGTTTCTGGAAGGTACCTGCATTTGATTGGGTATTGATTTTGCAAATGGGCAAATTGGAGTTGGGTGTTCCAGGAATTCCCAGGTGGATGATGAGGGTTGGAGGGAGTAAGGACAAGGGAGATAGGCAATGAGACTGAAGAAATTAGGTGTCAGAGTGGAAAGGCCAGAGGTGGGGGTAGTGCCATTCTGACTATGGCCATCCACCCCAGGCCCTGTGAAGTTCTGCCGCTTCTCCCCTGATGGCCGCCTCTTTGCCAGCACCTCCTGTGACTGCACCATCCGCCTGTGGGATGTAGCAGAAGCCAAGTGTCTGCAGATCTTAAAGGGTGAGTGTGCTGGATGGGACTGGGAACCCAGCAGCCAGGCCCGGATTCCCTACTGGACTTTGCTATGTCCTGTGCCACCTTGTAGGTCACCAGCGGAGTGTGGAAACAGTCAGCTTCAGTCCTGACTCCAAGCAGCTGGCATCGGGTGGCTGGGACAAGCGGGTGATGCTCTGGGAGGTGCAGGTATAGGTATATGGAGGGGCAGCCAGAGACCCTGGGATCTGGATGAGACACACACCCTCAACAATGGCTCCAGAAAGGTCATTCCCTGTATTCCCCCTGCCCATGCTCACACCTGGCACCCAAGACCCCCTTGCATTTGGCTGCAGCTAACTTCCCCCTACTCTCATGCCCATGAGATTCCCCCTGCCTGGACTGCCCTCTCCTCTCGTGGCCAGGGAAGTCTTCCAGACCCTCTGCCACACTACCCAGGCAGCACAGAAAGGAGGGCCTGGGTCTGCCTCATCCGAGGCCCAGAACCTGGCACTGAGGCTTTGGGGCTGCCCTCCGAAGCTCAGGGCTCTCGCCTGCAGTCTGGCCAGATGCTGCGCCACTTAGCGGGGCACCAAGACTCCATCCAGAGCAGTGACTTCGCACCCAGCTCAGACTGTCTGGTGAGCCACACTACCTCTGCCCAGGCCCCACACTGTGCTGGAACCTGGTACGAACACACTTACCCACTTGGGGCTGAGCAGTGGTTAGAATTCTAGACCTTGACTGGATGACTTGGCTCTTCTGAGCCTGTCCCCTCATCTTAAGATGAGGATTCAGCCTGGCTTGGCGAAATGGTGCCTGCTTTGGGTCTGACCAGCCTAGGAACCAGGAGACTGGGCATGGGCTGGCTGGTCCATGCTCATGGCAGCCGTCTGCAGGCCACCGGTTCTTGGGACTCCACCATTCGTATCTGGGACCTTCGGGCAGGGACCCCAACGATCTTCCACCAGGAACTGGAAGGTCACAGTGGCAATATCAGCTGCCTGTGCTACTCAGCATCTGGCCTGCTGGTGAGCTGGGCTGCCCTGGGTTCCAGGCTAGCCCCTTGGAGGGTCACGGGCCATTTGGGGGTCACAGTGAGCAGGCAGGTCCCAAACAGAGCTGTCTGTTGTCCAGGCATCTGGCTCCTGGGACAAGACCATCCACATCTGGAAGCCCTCAACCAGAAGCCTGCTTGTCCAGCTCAAAGGCCACGTCACCTGGGTGAAGAGCATAGCTTTCTCCCCAGATGAGTTGCAGCTGGCCAGCATTGGCTACTCCCGAATGGTAACCCCACTCCACCAGGCCCCTCTTCCTAGCAAACCCCTATCCCCACACCTGGCCTAATAGTCCTCAGCACTGTCCAGAAAGGACCACATCCCAATTTACCTCAATATGAAGGTGCCAAGGGCAGGACCCAGGTGTCATCCACTTCTGCACCTAGTACCTGGCACTAAGGTCTGTAGTGGTCCAAATGTAACACCTGTAACTCAAATAGCTCCAGGGGAAATTGTATTGCATGGAATTTTGGCATCAGATATTGTGCCAGGTATGTTAAATATACCCCACACCAAGATGTTGGCTAGGACTCACCCCCCAGGTGATTTAAAATATGCTTGTGAGGCCTTCCTACCTTTCACCTTTTATTTCCAGGTCAATGTCTGGGACTGCAACACAGGCAAGTGCATTGAAACCCTGAAGGTAAGGCCTGTGGCTATGGCACCCAAGGGCGCAGTAGAAGGCACACCAGGAAGCTGGGGGTAGGCAGGATTTGCATCCTCAGAGCCCAACGAAGTGTTTTTGGCAGGGAGCCCTGGATGTGGCCCACACTTGCACCTTCACCCCAGATGGGAAACTCTTATTAGTATCTGGAGTTGCTGAATAGGCAAGACGCCGAGTCCACTGCATGATTCAATCACCCAGAGCCTATTATACCATCGCCACACACGGCCCTTAGACCTCATGCCCCTGCCCTCCCTGCCCGGGGCACATGGGGCCTGGCAGAAAGGACTGTTCCACGACAAAGGCCCAACAGATCTTTGACAGTACTGTCACAGCCCCACACCAGGTTTAGACAACAGCTACAAGCAGGCCTGCCAGAATCCAGACACCTGGAACACACCAGCCCATCTCTCCAGCATGGTTAACTGAAACAACTGTAAACACAAAGCAGTGTCAGCCAGTTTGTGCTTTATTGACCCATGATGCTCAGGCCTTGACCGCGTACTTCCGCAGAGGGTATAGCCGCTCCTTCCGCTGCTGCTTCTTGGTTTTCAGGTTTTCTTCATGCTTGTTGAGCCGGCGGCGCATGGCGCGTGTTTTCTTGGGCCGCAGATCCAAGGGCTTGTACTTCTTGCCCTGGGTGACGGAGAGCAGGGGGAATCTGAGGACCAGGGCTTAGGAGCAGTAGCCAAGGGAGCCCCAGGGGTTGGAACTGAGGTGTTGGGAGGGCACTGGGAAATGACAGAGGAAGTGCATGGCTGGGCAGGGGAAGTTCATTTGTAGACATGAACTGAAGAGCTGTATGACATCCGGCCCAATAAGGGGTCTGTCAACATGGGACTAGAAGACAGGCCAAACATCTTGCTTACTAGGTTCATCTAATTCCCCCAAATTCAAGGTTGGGTGGGGAATTATCCCCATTAAAAAAAAAAGTCTGTTGAGTTACAGGGCCAAAAAGCAAGTGAACTTGCCTGAATCTCATGAAAGCTGTGGCGGAACTGGGATTTGCATCTAAGTCAACCAACTCCCTACTTGGTGCTCTTTCCACCAATTTAATTCCCTGCCATGGAGTCTACCTCATATGCAACTCAGTAAGGGGCATATGGCACCCAGCAAATACCAGGGGTAGCCACTGTTATCTTGGCTTAAGTTATGCAAACTGATACGTATGGGTGTGTGTGTCTTAAATGGGTACTCGATAAATCCTGAGTGCCTGCCAGGTACCTGTGGGTGTTCCCTGTAACAGTGTTCCCATTTAACAGGAGTCCCAGAGGGAAGCTCTGGCTTGGTCAAGGTAATTCTGCCAAGAGGCAAAGCCCCCTTTCCTGCTTTGGTGGCCTCCCACCAACTCCTGCTCCTAGACCTTTAACTGGGCCACCGTCTCTCCATCCCTGGCTCTCACATGTTCTTGCTCCACTTGTTCCCAGTGAGCAGGTCTAGACCAAGGCAACTCTCATGGTCTCTCCTTTTTTCTGCAAAGGTTCCCTGGACCCTCTTTGGCTTGAGACCCTGTGCTGGGTGCTGGCTTGGACACAAATCAGGCCTGCTCCCTGCTCAAGAGCTCCCAACCCAGGGGAGAAGACTGAACAGATAACAAGTGGCTTATCGGTGGGGGAGGAGCTTTTACCTAGCAACTGGCAATAGCCCTGAAAGTGATGTAGATGCCAACCGAAAGGGGAGAAAACAGCTATGGCTCTTTCTGGGAACCACCAACAACCTGGAAGTGTAGGTACAGGGCAGAGAACTACAGAAAAAAGTTCTGGAAAACTGCAAGTATTCAAGTCTTTGTCCATCCACATCCCTCACCTCAGCAAGCACAGGTCAGATTTACTAATTTCGTCTGTTTCAAATTTACTAAGCCCCTTAGAGCTGTGCTGTTCAACAGAGTAGCCACTAGCCTATCCTATTTGGATTAAGAAGTCAGTCCTTGCCCTGGCCGGTTTGGCTTAGCGGTTAGAGCAATGGCCTGTGGACCAGAGTCGTGAGTTTGATTCCAGTCAAGGGCAGGTCCCTAGGTTACAGATCATCCCCAGCCCTAGTCAGGTCATGCGGGAGGTAACCAGTGTCCCTCACATGGATTTTTCTCTCTTCCTCCCTCCCACTCTATCTGATGATAAATGTAAAAATATCTTTGGGTGAGGATTTATAAAAAATCAGTTCTTGCCCGGTCAGTGTGGCTCAGTGGTTGAGTGTCGACCCATGCACCAAGAGGTCGCCGGTTCAATTCCTGGGCAGGGCACATCCCCAGTGTGGGGCATGCAGGAGGCAGCCAATCAATGTTCACTCTCATCAATGTTTCTCTCTCCCTCTCTCTAAAATCAATAAAGAAAAAAAAAAAATCAGTCCTCAGGCACCATAGTCACATCAAGTGATCAAAATGCATGTGTGGCCCAGCCAGTGTGGCTCAGTGGTTGAGCGCTGACCCATGCACCAAGAGGTCACAGGTTCAATTCCTGGTAAGGGCACATGCCCAGGTTGGGGGCCTGATCCCCAGTGTGGGGTATAGAGGAGGCAGCCAACCGATGCTCTTTCTCATCAATGTTTCTCTCTCCCACTCTCCTCTAAAAAAAAAAAAAAAGGACACACTGTATTGGACAGAGCAGATACAGAACACATCTGTCACCTCAAAAAGTCTACTGGACAGTGCTGACCTACAGGCAGAGACTTCACCTCCACATCACTGAATGAGTGGTGCCTGGTATTGGTGCACACACTGGATGGTTATGAAGACAATCATTCCAGGTCACCACCTCTGCCTGGTCCTCTCAGAACCTGATGAAAAACTGCAGACCCAATCCTCAGAAAAACGCCCCCCCAACCCCCACATGTGCATATATCCAAGGGTAGCAGCACCCAGGTCCACCCCCACAGCTAGTGTCCCCTTGGCGACCAGCCCAGGCACACCGTGATGGCTTTTTGGGATACCAAACCCTCCAGTTATTCAAACACCAATCTGGGAGTTGATATGAAGCCATTTTGTAGATGTAATTAAAGCCAACAATCAATCAGTTGATTTAAACAGAACAGCCTGGGTAATCTAGGAGGGCCTGATAAAATCAGCTGAAGTCCTTGAAGACAGGGCTGAGGCTTTCCCCAAGAAATCCCACTGGTGGGACCGCAGCTTCAACCTGCGTTGTGAATTCCAGCCCACAACCTTCTCCAGACAGCCAGAATTTGGACTTGCCATTAGCCAGTCCCCACAACCACATAAGTCAATTCCTTGTGATAAAGCAAACGTGTATATACATGCATTTATAAAGTATCCTACTGGTTCAGCCTCACTGTTTGAACCCTGGTAAGGCTAATTTAAGGGCAAGACTAGAACACGGTAGTAAAAATCCTAGGCTGAGGTGGTCAGACATCTGTGGAAATCTCCCAGGAGCACTCCATCCACCCCTCCCCAAGACATGGTTTTGAACCTCACTCCATTATTTGTAGGTGACCCTGAGTAACTTAATCTATAAGCCTTGAGGTCCTCATCTGAACAACAAGAATGTCAGGTGCTTGGCAGTGACTGACAGTGCTAGTAAAACAAAACATTTAAGTCAATCTTCAGACTGCCCAAACTCACTCAGCTAGTGAGGATGCATCTAAAACCCAAGTGTCCAGCCAGACTCCTACCACATCTTTGATTTCTTGACTACTGTAGCCCTGAGGAAAGGCAGTCTCCATACCATATGCTAATGCAAGATGCTAGGAAGAAGGTGAACCCATCTACAAGCTGGGAAGGCTCTGGAAAGCCCAACTATGTCTGAGCAAAGCCTGTCCCACACACATCAGCAGAACCTCTTCATACTGACCCCCTTGGCAAGGGAGAGCTGGAACTTTGCTCCCTAGAGCCAGGCAGCCCCGTATGTACCTCCCCCCCCACTCACCTTGTAGAATTTCCTGAGGTTCTCTTTCTGAGTCTGGTTAATGACGGTAAGAACACGGGCAATAGATTTGCGAACAACTCGGCTACAAAAACAGGGACATCAGTGAAGACCATGAAGACACACAGTGCTCCCCAAAGCATCCCACTCAGGGGCTGACCCAGGTCTCATAGGGCAGGGGCATTCCCTACCAGCTCATCCATCTTCACCCAAGAAGCACCTAACCCAGCCCAGGAGGAAGGTATTCTGAAGGAAGGCCAGAGAGACCATGGTATATGGTAATCTCAGGAGTGGGAATAGGAAAGGGCTGGAGTATCCAATGCTTTTGAGGAACTGTGAAGTGTCCATTGAGACTTAATGAGGAGCGATGGAAGGCTGATCAGGAAGAATCTTCCATCCCAGGCCATATATCCTGAGGGCTATGAGGCCGACCTAACCAATGCCCATCTTAATGAGCCGACAGGGAAGAATCAGGCACAAGCTGGGCAACCAGGGAAACTTAAGGAGTTGTGGCAAGGGCCACCTGGAAGGGAGCAATGCTATGGAGGAGAGGGGAGTGTGAGGCTAGGACCAGCTGGGGACAGGTGCATCTGTAGTCATGTTGACTAAGAGGCTGTTGTGGGATGAGGGGAAGCTCACTCAGTAGATAGCTGGTAAACCTGGTCTTGAGAATTCAAGTATGAAACTTGCTTCTGTGTTCCCAAACTCATCCAATCCCTCCGGTGCCCCCCCAAATATTGGGGGCACATTTTATAGAAGAAAACTGGGTGGTGAGCCAACATGCCCATAGGTAGGATGTGGCAGAAGTGTAATTTGTGCCCCGGTCAACTGACTCTAAACCTGTGTTCCTTTCATAATTCTTGGTCTATGTAAATCACGAAGTTACACTACAACTCAATTAAGGTGCAAAGCACCCACTTACTAATTGAGGGGAAAAAAATCAACTGCTGGTGGGAGGTGAAAGACAACGTCACGTTGGGTTTTTGAAGGCAGCGTTAAAATGTCCCCAAACAAGGACACCTTATTTTTTCCCCAGCCAGAGAAGCTGAACAAGGGCACTGCGAGCAAAGGCACCACACGTCAAAGGTAGGCAAAGGGAGTAAGTCTCCCACGCGGCTGGCCGTGAGCAGGTGAGCCTGGTTAAGGCATGACATTCTAATTCAGACCCAATGAATGGGTACTTAGGCAGACACCTCCCTAAGTCATCTTCCAAAACCCACAAATGCTCCCGATTCACACATATTCCTCCCGCCGCCCAGAGGACCGTGGTCCGGCCGCCGGTCACTTACATCTTAGAAAGTTTGGAAGCCGCACCGCCTGTCACTTTGGCGACGCGCAGCTGGGACAGCTCCACCTTCAGGTCGTCCAGCTGTTTGAGCAGCTCCTCCTTTTTCTTGCCCCGAAGGTCTCGAGCCTTAATTTTGGCCTGCGTGCGAGAAAGGGTCCGGGTTAAATGCTCGGTGGCTCCGTCTCCACCTCCGCCGCTCACCGAGGCCTCCACCGGCCATCTCCATCCGTCCACTTGCGTGGTGGCCAGCCCCAGCAGGGCGCGCGCCTCGCGCAGGGTAACCGAGGCCCAGGTCCGCTACGAGGCTGGCCCGCTACTGCCATTCAGCAGAGTGCAAGACGGGGGCCCCCCGCAGGGCGCGCGCACCTCTCCTAGTCTAGGCCGGCAGGGGTTGGAGTAAGGCCGGCTGTGGCGGAGCTAGGCCATTATGCACCGTGCGCCACAGGCCCGGCTGGCAGATGGGACCCCAGGGTCCACCCTGCACCCACCCACCCCACGCCCCGAACTCCACAACACATGGATGGAGCCTGATTCCCCAACCCTCACCATTACTGAACAAGCCGCCGCTACCGCCGCCTGCTTGGAGAGAAAGAGGAAGGGGCGGGGCTGACCTCCCCAACTGCTGCCGGGTGACAGTGGGCGCGGCCAATGGCGCCGCAGCTAGGGAGTCCCGGCCCCGCCCCTGCCAGCCCCGCCCCTGCCAGCCCCTTCCCAACGCCGCGGGAAGAGCGATGGTACTGGCGGCCCAGCAGTGTTCTGTAGTTCCCGCGTCGGTCTTCCTCTCGCCCTCGAGGTTACGTAGGTCGGCCTTACCCCTTGAGCCGCAGTTGAGGAAACCGAGGCACGACAGGCAGTTTACCAGACATGGCGTAGTGAGGTCTCAAATTCGTCTGCTCAGTCGTTTATTCGTTCATTCATTCGATAAGTCTTTGCAGGTCGCCCAGTTCATGCTACTCTGAGCTGGGCGCCCGAGTTCCGGGGATGGAGAGGATGAGAGTTCAGGATTTTCAAAGATGAATTAACACGACTCCTGCCTTGGAGGAATTTAAAGGCCGAGGTGGGCGGGGAGGGGCGGGGTCAGCTATAATCCAACTCCATTAACGTTCTAGTGGAGGCAGCACGCGGCAGGGGGAGGAGCATTCATAGCCTTTTTTAGTGAACCCGATCCGGCTTCAGATTCTTGCTCTGTTGTCTGATGCTAGATGAGACTCGGCAAATACCTTCCTCTCTTTGAGTCTCAGTTTTCTCACCTGTGAAATGGGTCATTTATGAGGATTAGGAACATATCACTTAAAACTCTTCTCACAAGGCCTGAAGCGTAATAGTCGCTCAAAATACCATCAGTATTAATGCTCCTTCCCAGTGGAATGAACACTTAAATTGGGCTCTGAAAGTTAAAGGGGATTGACAAAGCAAGGAGGGTACTCAGGCTTTCAGACTGAGCAGTTTATTGTTTCCCTAACCAGCAAGTATGAATCAATACTCCAGTGTCCCTCCATTGCCATTAACATTGAAGATACACTGACACCTCTTAGAGTTCTAATTAATGCCAGGCTGCCCCTTGTTGCTGTCAGGTGTCACCTCCAGGGAGTTTTCTCCCTTCCCCTTCTTTACTCCTTAGCCTTGAAATAAGTTGGAACACAACCTCCCTTGGGTTCCAAGTTTTCTGCATAATCCTCTCCTTAGCTCCAAACATACTGAGTTAAAATGATTATATGTTGTCTCCACAGCCAGCCTAGAAGGTCTCTGGGGGCAGAACCATGGCTGATACCTGATTTCATTTTTCTAGTCTCCAGGCACAGTATGTGAATGCTTATTGGATGAATGAATGAGCCTTGTCCCAGACTACAATGAGAAATTATTTTAGGAAGTGGAGGGACACGGGGAGGAGTGGGCAGACAGTGGGCAATCTTGGCATGGATTAGTTCTTAAATGGAAGTGGAATAGTGCATGGACACTCCTGTTACATTTCCCAAATGCTTAAAGTTCTTCTTCTTCTTTTTTAAATCCTTACCCAAGGATATTTTTTCCATTGATTTTTAGAGAGAGTCAAGTGAGGGAGGTGGGGAGAGAAAAATCAATGTGAGAGAGACACATTGATTGGCTGCCCCCTGCACATACTCTAACGAGGGCCAGGGATCGAACCTGCAACCCAGGTACACGCTCTTGACTGGGAAATGAATCCGAGACCCTTTGGTCTGCAGGCTGATGTTCTAACCATGGAGCCACACTGGCCAGGGCCCAAATGTTTAAAGTTCTTCTTTTTTTTTAATTTATTTTTTTGTACGTGCCCCTAGAGGAAACCGAACCCGGGACTCTCTGGTCCGCAGGCCAATGCTCCAACCACTAAGCCAAACCGGCCAGGGCTTCAAGTTCTATTAGAGCTAAAGATTGTGTACGTCTTTTCTGGACACGAGTCATCTGTGACTTCCATTCCTCTTAGATGCCACCTTCAATCCACTAGCAAATTCTGTAGCCTCTACCTTCAATATATACCTGACTTCTTCCCACCACTCTTTTTTTTAATCCTCACCAGAGAATATGTTTATTGATTTTTGAGAGAGAAGACGGAGAGACAGAAACATTGATGTGAGCGAGAAACAAAGACTGGTTGCCTCCTGTATGTGTCTCAACCAGGGATCAAACCCACAACCAAGGTATGTGTGCTGACCAGAAATCGAACCCGTGACCTTGCAGTTAACGGAAGGATGCTCCAACCAACTAAGCCACCACTCTTATTGGTACCTGCCTGGTCTGAGCTACCATTGCCTGTCACCTGAATTGTTGGTATCACCTCTTAAATCATCTATTTTGGCTCTTCCTCCCATGTGTGTTCTCAATACAGCTGCTAAAGGGATACTTTTCAAACTTAAATAAGATCATGTCCAGAATTTTCAGAGCTGTCCCATCTGGCTTAAGACCACATCCTTTCCTCAGCCTACAAAACCCTTCAGCATCTCCTGCACTTCCATCTCATCTCCTCGCTCTTGTTTCAGTATGGCCTTGCTATTTCTGGAGTACTCCAAGCTTGCCCTGCCTTTGGGCCTTTGCTTAGCTCCCTCCTTCACTTCCTTCAGTGTCACCTTCTAAGGGACACTTTTGTTGACCACTTTATTTAAGGTGCTCACTCCGGGCACTGCTTTCCTGACTGGAATGGAGGTCCACAGTTATAAGGAGGGACATTATTTCATTCACCAACTTATTTGGAGGCCATTTCCTTACTTGTAAAATGGGTATTTCTGGTTTAACGTTCGTCATGAGGATATTCTGGGGATATGAATTTCTGCTGTCTTGTGGCCTGCCTGAATCACAAAAATTTCTTCCAAGGTATGGAGCTGAAAGACAGGTGTACTTTGCCTGTTTCCAGGACCTCCAAGACTTTTTATTCAGCACCTACTTCCCACTGTAAGAGTCTGTATCTTTAGCACCCAAGATTTGGTAGCATCATAGTCTGGCATATTTTTTTCCCTTCAATTAGCAATAATCACTCCTCAGATAAACCTCATTGGCTACAATACTGCCAATGTGCAAAGCTTGGCATCTTTTTTTGATCTGCAGACAGTTCAATGAGAAATACTCAAAGCAATAAAACGAGTCACATTTCATTAACTACTGGCCTTTATTAAAGAGCACTACTATATAAAAACAAAGACCCAATTTAGTCTAAGGCTAAGGCCCATTAATGGAACCCCTCAAGCAACAGCCTAATCCTGGCACGACAGAGTCGTCCTTGACTGTGCTCTACCTCCTCTATCCCCATCTTTCTCCATCTCGGACTCTGGGCTTCCTACCAGGATATGCCTCTCTAGTCAGGTCCAACTTCGCAGCCCCTAGAACCTCGCCCTTCCTGCCAGGACGGTGGCTACGGTGTCACTTCCCTCTCCTCACCCCCGGCCCCCGCCCCGCCTGGCCAAGGTGACTACTACACAGGCGGGGCCGCTACATCAAGTCCAAAGGTCTTCATTGTCTTGTCAGCACTTTAGATATACTTTAAACGTCTTTAAATTCTCCTAGTCAATAGGGTCATTGTGTACAAGGCAGAGGCCACTTCCTTTCAACGCAGTGTGGTGGCGTTCAAGGCTTCTAAAATCTAAGATAAACCCCCAAACCCCCTCTCTGCTGGGGCGTAAGAACTACTCCTCATCCCTCAGCTCGAAGGCTTCTGCAAGAAGCCTGCCCGGCATTCCACAGGAACAGCCGGGTGCCTCCCCCTGGGGGTCCGGTGCTCCCTCAGTCTGGGCGTGATGACCCCGGAGTCCGGGGCTGTGCCTGCGCCGGCCCCTTCCAGGAGGGAGGCCGAAGAACGAGCGCAGTAGTGGCGTCCACGATGCTGGGTCTGCTCGGGTACGAGCGCCAGCTCCTCAGATTGGAAGACTGAGGCGCAATAAGGAAGGCAGTCTGGCCGGTGGAGCTCGGGGCGACTACGACACCGGTGGTAGAGTGCTTTTAGCGGCGCCCCGACCCTCCCTCCCGCTGCACTTCCGCTTCCGGCGTGGGCCGGAAGTGGGCGGGCGGCAGCGGCTGCGCGCGGGGGAGGTGGAGGTAGTGCGGGCGACCGCTTCCCGCCCCCGAGCCGGTTCTGAGCGGAGTGAAGCTGAGGTCGGAGCCGGAGCGGAGCCGGAGCGGAGCCGGAGCGGAGCCGGAGCGGAGCCGGCGGAGTGGGCGCCGAGCCCCTGCCATGGCCCGGAATACGCTGTCCTCGCGCTTCCGTCGGGTGGACATCGACGAGTTTGACGAGAACAAATTCGTGGATGAGCAGGAGGAGGCGGCGGCGGCGGCAGGCGAGCCAGGCCCGGACCCTAGCGAGGTGGACGGGCTCCTGCGGCAATATCCTTCCCCGGCCTGGCGGCGCGTGCACCCCTTCGGCCCAGCCTTCCCACCCCCCTCATCCCGGCCCGGCCCCTCGGGTTGACTCCCGTCTTCTTAGCTCCGGCCCCCCTCGGGTCAGCCTCCCAACTCCCTTCCGACCTGGTTCCCCTCGGGCCAGGTCTCCTCAGTCGGAGTATCCCCCCTTCCCTCTGACCCGCCTCCCCACGTCTCTCGTTCCTGGCCCCGGCCTCCGGAGCCTCCCTCAGCCGCGCACCCTACGCGGTCCCTGGACCCTGGCGGGCCGGCCGGCTGGCTCGGCTCCGGGAACATGCGGACGCGCCGGGGCCCCTCGGGCCGCTCACTGCTCCGCGGGCCGCCCCTCCTTTCCCCCTTGCCTCCTCAGCCACTCAGGCTGTCCCTTCCTGGACGCTCCATCACTCCATCCTTCCCTTGCAGGAAATGGGGTCATACTCGGGCTGCACCGGCGGGGGGGGCCGAGGTGAGCCACCGCTGAGTAACTGAGCTAATTGAGCGGCCAGGGCGTCTCCCGGGCACGGTCCTCTCGGGCCTGATTGCAGCAGCACACGAAAGTAGGTGGGGGGACGGCTGCGGGCAAGAAAGGACACAGGGGTGGCGAAGGCTGAAGCCTTAGCCCAGCCCTGAGGCCTGAGATTGTACACCTCTCACCCCAAGTCAGCCTGACCCTCCAGCCTAATGCCATTGTTTCTGACCTAGTCACAGCTGCCTACGAACACCTTGGGTTCTGGACCTTGATGGTCTCAGCCATGTTCAACAAGTGAGTTTGGCTCCCTCCCCCAATAGCTTTCTTGTGCAGGAAGCAGTGGAAAAAAACTAGTAGTTTAAGAGCTAAGAAAAACCAGAGAGCAAAAAATGAAATGTAAAAGTAGAACCCCAGAACTGGGAATGACTATTTTTGTGGCCACAGAAAACAAGCATTTAGAAAACAAGATTAAAAATAGAGGTGGTTGTCACAAACTGCTTGGTCCCTTAGCAGTTTGAACACAGGAAACTGACTTATTCTTAGAGAAAGGATTTTTCTTTATTCAAACGGTGTTACAGGAAGTGCCTGCCCCTCCCCCGCACTTGCCAGTGTGGGGTTGTAGGCTCATGCTTTATATAAATCAGGTTCTAGGTGTTTAATCAGTTGACTCAGCTTGGGACTGCCTTTGGGAGGAGTCCTGCAGTGTTCCTCCAGTGTGCCTTTAAAAGAAAAACCTTCAGACTTTCTTTGTTTGGACAGGAATGTGTTTTCAAATGCAAACTTGTATTTTCTGCCCTATTAGGATCACCTTGCTTACCCCTTTGGTGAAATGGTAGCATGAGGAGGCCCCCACAAAGGAAGGTTGATTCTGCAGACTGGTGCAGGACCTCATTCATGGACAGGTGGTGCCAAAAGGGCTGCAGGGTCAGGCCTGTGGCCCAGAAACATCCACAGATGGGAGAACGAGGTCTGGTTATCTGCTGTCTTGGCCTTGGTGCTGTAGGGACTTGAAGGTCATCTCTTGTATGCCCTTGACTAGTGATAGGTTTCTTGGGGTTGCTTGGCGACGTAGGCTTAGCACATCCAGGAGATGGTGGTTTTTTCACTGCTGGTAATGTGGGAACCTTGTTACCATGGAGAGCATACCTCTTGGGACTCAGGAAAGGGAGGTTAGCAGGTGAGAATTGAGATCCTAGCAAATGTGAAGCTCAGGGAGAGAAGAGGAACTAATATTTACTGAGTCCTTATCATGTGCCAGGTATACTGAACTTGTGGTAGATCATTGAATTTAAACTATAGAACAGGCTTCTAGGAGTCAGGACAGAGGTGATGAGAGTAGAAATAGGGGTTGGTTGATTGGATGGGGAAGTACAGGAGGAGGCCTGTCGTAGCACTGTCTACAGAAGCAAGTCATGGTGGGAGATAACACAGATGAAATAAAAAGAACATGGGCTGTGCATCCATAAAAACCCAGCTCTGTCATGCCATCGCTGTGTGACCTTGAGTGGGTCACATACCCTCTCTGAAGCTCAGCATCCTCCTCTGTTAAAAGGAGGTGAACCATACTGCCTTACAGGTCCCATGGGAGCATCGCTGGACATCATCCCAGAAGGCTTCAGTGCAGTGCTAGGCACACAGCAGGTGTCTTGGACACACAGCTTGGGTCGGTGGGCGGAATGCAGCAGGGGATTGTAAGAGTTTGGCTTTGGAGTCAGGTGTACTGGGCTTGAAGGCCAGCTGGACAGCTTAGCTTTGTGACCTTGGGCAGGTCACTTCCCTATGAGCCTCAAATTCATTGCCTTTAGAATAAGAATAATGATTCTTGTCGCAGAGTTGTTAGCAATAATGACATGTGAAAGCACTTGGTATAGGATCTGAGACCTTGTAGGGATTTTGAAGTAGTATTTGTTCCTTTTCTTCCTCGCTGAAGCACCTTCTGGTCCTCGGGAGCAGGAATCTGTTCAGAGCAGTGGTTGTGAGTGATTTTGCACTCTCCTCCCCCTGAGGAAATTTGGCAACTTTTGGAGACATTTTGATTGTCATGACTTGGGAGGTGCTACTGGGATCTAGTGGGTAGAGGCCAGCAATGCTAGTAAATACTGTGCCATGCATAGGACAGACTTCGCATCGGTCATCTGGTCTAAAATGTCAGTAGCGCCATGGTTGAGAAACCCTGAGATAGACTATGGGTTGGACAAAGTTCCCCAGCCTCTACAATCTATTTTCTGAAAGGGCCTGAAGTTGGTTGAGTACAGAGGCCAGCTTGGTAAATGGTATGCCCTCCCAGCACCCCATATCTCCTCAGCTGCTGGAGGCCCACTACCCATCAACACCTTCAGTGAGTGTTTGGTAGACTGGTGCTAGAGAGGTAATAAAGCAGTGACTCCTTTTGCTTCTGTGGACTACTTATCCTACCCTTCCAAATGATTTTGTTTGCCAACCATGCTGGATAGTGAAGAACACCAGCCTACATTTCCTTTTAAGCCTCTAGGATACCAAATTAGAAAAGAATTCTGAGGTAGAAGTTATCAGTGGCTGATAATCAGACTGGCCCTTGCCTGGCTGGGGAAGAGGAATTCCAAGGCTGACAGATAACTGGGGTGGGCTGCCTCTTAAATGTGGACGGTGGATCAGAGCCCAGCAGGGGGCCAGGAGCTTGTCAGGAGTGGCTTTGAGGTACTGTGGGCCCTCCCCAGTCAAGATGGAACCCACACTAGGGAAGACAGGACAGACAGCTTTGCTCCGGAGGCCCTGTCTGTTTACATGTGGGTAGCGCTGCATGAACAGTAGAGACCCGATTGGGCAGAAGCCATTCCTTGTTCTATTTTTGAAGCTTTTTGGCTGAAGCCAATGTTTCAGATGAGGAAATGAAAGTTGACTGATGTAATTCAGTTTAAAATAGGTGTCACCTTTGGGGACTTAACCCAGATTGTAATTTTCTTTTGAA